CATCTTGGATATAGTCGGGAATGTCCGCTACCGCCGTCGGGAACGCTCGGTAGCGTCACGATTACCGAGGCCCGACCGAAAGCTTTCCGATTATAACCGGAAAGGCTACCGAGCGTTCCCGACGGCGGTAGCGGACATTCCCGACTATATCCAAGATGGCCGCCAGCTTGTGCCGACTAGCTATTTTACTACTTCTCTGTCGCGCTGTGGAATATTTAGGCTGATCTAAACATCGGCAACCCGGCCAATTGTGGAGTTATATTGTAGGGAAGCTCGGGACAGCAAAAAACCGGGTCAAAAACGGAGCATCGTGCAGCCAACGGGAAATGTGCAGTTCTGCCAATGGATCTTTCCACGACTCTTGCTGAGGGTAATGCAATGTAAGCCCGAATCAAGAGTCGCCACGGCTAAAGCCAACTGTTGCTTTAAATTCTGTCATGAAAATAAAATTGCTTATGACATCTACCAACCAAACATTGCTGAAATCTGAAGCTCTGGCATGATATTATAACGATGTTCAGTTCCAGGCTATACTGTCTACTCAACTGTTTGGAAAAAAATATGAAATATGATCACTTACTTCTAACCAAATGAGAAGATTCAATAATTGTGCCAGACAAAATATAGTCCATGATGCACATAAATTACATTTCTGCATCGCATTTCTACACGAATCATACCAAATTCGCGAGCAGAAATTCCACGAAACACAGTAGACTTGTGAACACTTATGCAGACATTCTAAGAAATGCCCCCTCCCCGTCTTCCTAGCCTTTCACTGTCTTGTCACTCAATCAATCAATGACTTGTTCTACAAGATTGTTGTTAAATGGAGGACGTATCATTTTAACGATCTGACAACAGATTTGACAACAACAGGAGGCACACCGTGTTGTTTAAACGCCGATTTTCGAGGTTAAAACCCCAGAAACGGACGAAATCTTCCACCAACTGCTCGAAAATCTCGCCATAACACTCTTCAAAATCACCCCACCTCCCTCTATTTAGTTCTAACTGGGCAGATCCCACTTGTAACAATTTCTCCAAAACATCGCGAATAAAAAATCCCTCCCGCCCAGCCCAGAGCAACAATACCACCAAATGATAGATTTGTGAGGTGAATCTGAACCCAGGGTTCTTGTCAAGTCGTTTTTTTCAGGCCATATTTTAGCGGCGTGTCAAGAAAAAAGGACTCCGTCAAAAAAAATGAAGATTTTTAACCCAGACGCCTCCACCAAAAACCTGGATCTTGGCGCTAAAACTACCCACGAATCCCCACCCCACGGCCGTTTAGGACGGGTTTAGAGGTTTGTACGTACCAGACCATCCCGTAGGCTCCTTCCCCAATGTATTGCAGCCCGCTGTAGCGAGGCCCGACCTCGAAATGCTGTCCGCGGACAACCTCCACATTCGGTTTTCCTGCGCCCTCCGCCATCTTGGTACCTGCTTCTCCTACCGAACCAGACGGCTCCCGGCACGCTGATTGGTCCCGCGCGGTCACGTGGCCAGGGATAGGTGTGGCGGACGCCGGAATGTCACCTAACTCGACATGCTCTCCAAGCAGAGGTTTGGGGGGGTTTGGGGTATTTTAAACGTGTTTTTAGGCTTTTTTTATCGGGGTTTCTTTCATGCACTGGAATTTTTCTTTCACCCAACCCAAGTTGAGTGAAATAAAAATTCCAGTGCAAGAAAGAGACCCCGATAAGAGAGTCTATTAAATATTATAAAAAACACGTTAAACCACAAAACCCAAACCTCTGCTTGGAGAATAACTTGACAGGCCTGTGGACTCCCCTGGAACAACGAATATGTAGGTATTGTAATCTAAATAGGATAGAGGATGAGGAACACTTTGTATTAGAATGTAGTTTATACAACGAAGAGAGAGCAGAGCTTTATAAACTATTGCAATGTATGTTTCCCCATTTCATACATCTTAGCAACGCAGATAAGTTCATATTTCTGATGATTTTAGACAAACCTTCGATTATAAAACATATCTGTACTTATATCTACATCATTACTAAGAAGCGAGAAGAAACCAAATTATCGTAATTATTAGACTATATGTCCATAGTACATAGAATTAGCACTAGCTTGTAGTGTATATATTCATTGCAAACTGTGACGTCTTTCCTGTGACCTGTACTGAACCCAGTGGGTATTTGCGTACAATAAAGGTCTTCATTCATTCATTCATTTAGCAGGGTGGATTTAGCAGGGCGGATTTAGCAGGGCGGATTTAGTAGGGCGGATTTAGTAGGGCGGATTTAGCGGGGCGGATTTAGCAGGGCGGATTTAGCGGGGCGGATTTAGCGGGGCGGATTTAGTAGGGTGGATTTAGTAGGGTGGATTAACGAGAAAATGTTAACAGGAAGGATTAACTATGTCGTCGTTACTGGGGCGGATTTAGCGGGGCGGATTTAGCGGGGCGGATTTAGCGGGGCGGATTTAGCAGGGCGGATTTAGCAGGGCGGATTTAGTAGGGTGGATTTAGTAGGGTGGACTTAGTAGGGCGGATTAACGAGAAAATGTTAACAGGAAGGATTAACTATGTCGTCGTTACTGGGGCGGATTTAGTAGGGCGGATTAACGGGAAGGATTAGCGGGAAAATGTTAACGGGAAAGGATTAACGATGACGTCGTTACTGGGGCGGATTTAGTAGGGCGGATTAACGGGGCGGATCTATTATTTTATGTATATTGTATCACGTACATAAATAAGTGTAGTATTTAGCCTTGATATATAGAACGCATATAAAGCATCCTGATCGGATAATTTGTTATACATGTAATTCTTAGATAGGCAACACCAACTTAACTTCTGGCACATTTCGCATTGAAATGTGTGTTTTCTGAAATGTGTGGGCCGCATTCTATAAATATCTTCGCGGGGATTTCATTTCGAGGTGGGAGGGGAAAGGGGGTTTTCACGGTGGAATTCTTCAGTAAAAAAGAGGTGTGTTGTTTTAAGATACGTTACAGCCGGTTTATAAAGGCACACGTGTAAAGTATACCAAGGAGACGGCGTGGGCTTGACGTCTATCAACATCTGTCCTTTTGTCCCAGGTCTTTTTTAAGATATTACAGCTCGATGAGGGACTTTTCTGACCGCCACACAAAAGAACCGAGGGGGTCCAAAAGCAGAACAGGTTGAGCTCAGAGGAAGGACAGACGGCCGACTCTTCGCAAACTCCTCCCCCACCGCCGCTCCAGACATCCAGGCTTGTGAGCAGGTCGCAGACAGACGGGTGGTTCAGACGACAGACGGCCGACTCTTCGCACACTCCTCCCCCACCGCCGCTCCAGACATCCAGGCTTGTGAGCAGGCCGCAGACAGACGGGTGGTTCAGACGACAGACGGCCGACTATTCGCACAGACATCTTGCTGTGAAGGTGGGTTTTAAACATTCCTTTTTTACTCGTTTTAGTTCCTTGTAAAATTCGTTACCTTCTATAGATGTGTGGTAGAACGGGGGTGAGGGGGTACGTTCGTCACTGAATAACACCCACTACTACTAGATTTTTAGCCTGAGTATCAGCCCTTTTATAACTAGCTTTTGTCCGCTAGCGCTCCCCACGATCCGCTACCGTCAGTGATCATGAATCGTGGGGAGCAGACGAAAGCTAAAAAGGCAGCTGATACTCAGGCTACTAGATTTCTAGCAGGGACCAAGGAGGTTTTAGGAAAACCACCTTGCAGGGACCGATTGATAAATGATTTATCAAGGCCCAGGAGCCTGGTTATTTCACATACATGTACAATGTAGTAAATTATTGTAATACATGTACTGATCTTATGGCATGCAACTGGATATCTATAGTGTGCACGATATGGCGGAGGGGGGGGGTGCTGAAAACAGTGAAGTAGAAACGTCTAGCTGTCCATGTTGTTCTTTATGCCGATCCCCCAGTAAGCACGCGTCGTGTCGTGGCCTGACGTCATATCAAGGCGCTTTCTGCTGGCAGTGTAAGCGTCATCACTTGACCAGTTTATATGATTCAGACGGGGGGGGGGATGATTTTGGGCAGTGGAGAGGGCCTAGAAAAAATTTTAACCACACTCCCGTCCCTACACCCCGCCCCCGCACAGCCTGCATATCCTTATATATGGATGAAACCTGAATCTTACAAAGAAGATTATATTACCCACCAAACTCGCTCCCGATTACAAGATACACACATACAGAAGTGGTTTAGATGTATTATAAATAATTCAAAATTATATTTTCTGACCAAATCGAAAAGCTGCTATGGGCAAGAAACATACCATTATGATATTTATATAACTTTGAAATCCGGAAAGCGATAACTCAGGTAAGAATTAGCAGTAAGAACAGGTAAGAACATAGCTCCTGATGGTTCTGCCCATTTTGTCCAAAGCAAATTGAAGAAGAATTTCAATTTATCATGAAATGCTCAAGATATGATGTTCTACGTAATGACGTATTCACATATATCAAATCCAAAGCTAGCGCAGTAGATTTCAACCGACTCGATGCTATGGACAGATTTATATATACATTCAAAATTAGGTAATAGTCAATAGTACGAAATATTCTGTGTATAGTGCAACATCTTGTTATTGACAGGATGATTCTGTCAATAGACACTCCCATCTCCTTTAACACGGAACAGCTAGACGTTTCTACTGGACTGTTTTCAGCACCCCCCCCCCTCTCGTGAACTACGTGAATATCCTTTGACGTAAATCAAGCAAATTAGGGCCTCGCTTGAAAAATAGTTAAGACTGTGATACTTTGAACAAGTTGTAATATTTTTGGTAGACAAGTGATGAGGACCTTATTTGCATGGCAATAAAAACTTTATGATGTAACTTTAGGTTGTATTTAATTTACTTTCAGAATTGCGTTGCATGTTTAAGGCTTGTAAGAATATTTCCAGTTTCTTGCTAAAATGGACCTATATGTACGCCTCATGCTTTATGTCGATTTAACCCCCCACCCCCACCCCCCGTTTTTTACCAAAAACTCCAGGTCTTCATATCATACTCTCCACCGGCCCGCGCAACGAGACGAACCTGAGAAAAACGCCACCAGACCGACATGGAGTCTAAACCCGCTCCTCTCGCCGTCTGCTTGGCTGTGGTTTCCGTGTTCATCGCCCAACATGGACGGGTTAGAGGACAACTCCCCCCACCTGTGTGTCAGACCTGGAACTCAACAACTGTCGTATGTCGTGGGGATGACTCGTTTTTGCCAACCCGTGCGCCTCTAACCCAAGTACCTCCCGGCATCCCCGAGTCTGTCATCACGGTGGATCTCAGTTGGAACAACATATTTGTACTGTATAAAAGTTCGTTTAGTGGGTTAAGAAACCTGAGATCCTTAGACCTGTCTTACAATAATCTAAAGACTATCGAGGTCGGTACGTTCGCTGGGTTGGAAAAATTGCAACATCTTGATATGCGTTCGTACAGAAATAGAAAACGAGTACACATGTATTCTCTTCGAAATGGACTTTTCCAAGATCTGCGAAACCTGAACTATCTGGTCGTGGAGACTCACACCGATGAAGTCGTCAGTGAGGGAGTGTTCACGGGGTTATCTAAACTCAGGTACTTAGAACTCAAATTGAAAAACATCAGAAATTTACCCGATCACATTTTTCATCCTCTGACTTCATTGGAAAGTCTAGAGATACGGGAAGTCGGCTATAACTTCAAACCTGAGGACCGAAATACCACCATGAGAAGAGTCCACAGCGGAAGTGGGTTCCTACAACGACGCCTGCTGTGGGCACCGCTACACAACCTTAAAACATCGCGTCTCCTTCTACCAGCAGCGGCCAGTGACTTCTACTTTGGACCTATATTTAGAAACATGTCTAAGATGGAGACTATAGCCATATCATGTAGCTACCTTGGTTACCCCATAGTCAACGTCCAAATGTTCCAGCCGCTGTTACCAACTCTGAAATATTTGCGCACTCGATCTCCTCTAGCTCCCGGCCTGCTGACGTCACTCACACATCTACAGACGTTGGATTTTGAACTTTTTTCATATCCCGCCATTATGGACGTTCTATCTGAACTCCGACACACGCAGGTTCAGGAGTTGTCAGTTGTCAATGCGATGAACGGAATTGACAACATAACATCTGATACTCTAGCGGGAATAAAAGGTCTGAAACGTTTGAAAACTTTGATTTTTGACTTAATCCCCATGTCATTGCACGTCATACAAGCTGACGCCTTTGCAGGTATGTCGCATTTACAAAGGCTGGATCTGACGCGGGTCGCCCTGCAAACTTTACACGACAAGGCGTTCAGCGGACTGTCCTCGCTCACTCATCTTAACTTAACAGATAACGTGATTTCAACCTTACCACAAGGCGTGTTTGAAGGACTGTCCTCGCTCACTCATCTCGATTTGACAGATAACAGAATTTCTACTTTACCACCAGACGTGTTTGAAGGACTGTCCTCGCTCACTCATCTTGATTTGAGCCATAACAACTTGCGAACCTCCCAAGCTCAGCTTCCAGAGACCTTGGACTATCTTGATCTCAGTTACAATAAGATAAAAAGCAACAGATACTTGCCTCACCGACCAGGTTTCCACCCTTTATCATTTAACCTCAGTGGTTTAAAAAGCGTGAATCATCTGAACTTGAGTCATAATGACATAGAAATCGTTGACGTCGATCATCTACCTCAGAATATTACTGTGCTTGATTTGCAGCACAACAACATACGACCGCGGTATGTACCTGTATATTGCATTACGAGCTTACGGTATCTCGACCTTTCTAACAATAATATGGACTCTACTCTTAGGTTTGCATGGTGTAAGCACTCTACATTAGAAACGCTAAGACTGGATAACAATGCAATAACAAGTATTGATCCTGATCTTAATTATCATTCAGAAGGGCTGGAAAATATCAGAACGTTGACTCTTTCTCACAACCTCATCCAGCGCATTGAAACAGGAGAACTGGCAGAGTTGAACCAGCTGGAACATCTAGATCTGAGTCATAACGAGATCAACACCGTCATGCCATCCGCCTTCCGTGGACTGTCGCGGCTACAGTTCCTGGATCTCAGTAACAACAAGATAAAGTATATAAAAGAGATGACATTTGAAGGTTTAGGCAACCTTACACATCTAAACCTGGAAGTTAACCAAATAGCAGTGATCGGGGACGCCTTTCAGCGTCTGTACGGGTTGAGGCACCTGAATCTGAGGAGCAACAGGTTGGTTGTGTTAAATCAAACAACACTGGGTCCTGTTGTTTATCGGTTAGAGGCTATCGACATTGCAGACAACCCGTTTCTGTGTGACTGTAAGTTAATGTGGTTTGTCGAGTGGGCCCTTGATAAATACGACAGGGTAGCGAACTTCCACAACCCCCATCTTGACTTCGGTTGAGGGTACACATGTTTCCTTCCAGCTCATCTGCGTGGAAGACGTTTGCCAGACGGGTTGACTCAGAAACAACACTCTAACGACAGACAGGATCCATCAGAACGAAAGTTCTTCGACACATTCTGTAGTCATGGATTCCGGCCCAACCGCCTCCTGGCTTGTGTGCTCGCCTCTTCGGGCATCTTTGTCGCCATGACGACCATTTTCCTGGTCGACTACCACGTCGGCCGTGTTCAGTACTTGCTGTGGATGTTGGACAAGTGGAGGAGACCGAAGATTGGCGAAGTAAAGACTCAAGATCCGCACAGATACACGCACGATGCTTTTATTGCCTACAACAACCAAGACGTCGGATGGGTTAATAATGAAGCGATAGAGAATCTGGAACCTGACTACAGTCTGGTCATACACGAAAGGGACTTTGCAGTGGGCGCTCCCATTGTGAAAAACATCGCGGATGCCGTGGAAAACAGCCGGAGAACCGTCTGCCTCATCACCAGGAACTTCCTGAAGAGTAAGTGGTGCGAGTACGAGTTCCAGCTGGCCCAGTACCACATGTTTGAGGAGGGGGGAGGGAGGCGACTCATCCTGGTGTTTCTGGAGAGGATTCCTAAGGAAATGCTGAAACAGTTCCGCCATCTGAACGCCGTAGTGAAGAGTGACACGTACCTGATGTGGCCACACGATGTGCGGAAAAGGCCGCTGTTCTGGAGGCGGCTGCGAGACGCTCTGGGCGATCCTCTACCCCGGGACCCAGAGCCTCAGCAGCAGGTACAGGGTCCGGAACGGAACATTCCGGAACAACAAGCTCCGGGGCGGAACATTCCGGAACAGCCAGCTCCGGGACGGAACATTCCGGAACAGCAAGAACAGGCTCCAGTGAGGCACCTTGTGGAAGTGCAGGTCCATGCCCCCGTGCGTAATATTCCGGAACTGCAGGATGACATTCTATTCCCAGATCTAGACGACCAGTGGTTTGAAGATGGGGATACCATTCCACTTCTACCGCTGTAGATAAAACTTACCGTGTCACCAGACTGTTATTGTTTTGGAGTGCATATTTTGTGTTGTTATTGAAGAAAATTGTATCTTTTTGTGTAAAGTCTACTCTGTACAGCAATATGTAGTGTAGCCTAAAACCTAAACTGTATCTTGGTAGTAAATTTTAGAATTAGTAATTTTTTGAGAGTTTGCATTAAGCTTGTCTTATAATGTTAACAACAGGGATTTATTTGATGTATTTGAATGCCTTTTATTAAACTGTTAGGCCATGTTGATTTGAATATATGGATGGCATCCGCGCGCGCATGAATTTTCGGCCGTTTCCCCCCAAAAAAGTTTCAACCATACTGTAAATCGTACAAAACAGTTGCAAAATGAGCAAAGATATACCGTAACTTGCAAAAAAATATTTAAAAACCGTACCAATGTCGCAGAATGCCAAAATCAAACGAAAAAAGACGAAAATTTAAAGAAATGAATTTGAATAATAGATTATTCGCCAAACCATATTCTGCATCATTTGTTCAACCATCATGACCACGTAGATTTCATTTTTTTTTGCAAAACTTTTTTTTCGCACGCGCGCATCAGTTTTGGGGTCCCATAGGATGTCATCCGTAGAATCAAAATCAAACATGGGCCTTATGTGTACGTGTAGATATACACTGTGCGGGCACTGTGTAGTTGTAGCTAATAATGGCAAGTTAATAATTTTGTTGTATCATCTAAATGCACATCTTTTAATGTTGTACCATTCCGACTATTGCACTGTGTTGTTATAATGTTTACATTCTATAAGTATTGGCAACAAAAATGTTATGTTGTGAGTTGAAATAATAAAACTGTACCTGGTCATGGATGAATTAAATTGTCATGGCCATCGTGTGACAGGCTGTGATAGTGTGACAGGCTGAATAAAAAGTTATAAACGGGAACTATGCGGCTCCAGATGTCTTACTGAGGGATGACTGCTTGTGCAAGATGTCGGTTAGCTGAGGGATGAATCCCCTCGAATTCTAATTGTCATGGTCATCGATCAAAAATGACATCTCTGGGCAGCAAAATTGCTAAAATCCAGTTTTATTGTAGCCATGGTAACACCCTAGTCTGGTTCCTGTACAGTTGATATGATTGGTACAAACATGTACAACTCCTGCTCACACCATGGTCCAGTCTACAGTGGTACAAACATGTACAACTCCTGCTCACACCATGGTCCAGTCTACAGTGGTACATGTACAACTCCTGCTCACACCATGGTCCAGTCTACAGTGGTACAAACATGTACAACTCCTGCTCACACCATGGTCCAGTCTACAGTGGTACAAACATGTACAACTCCTGCTCACACCATGGCCCAGTCTACAGTGGTACAAACATGTACAACTCCTGCTCACACCATGGTCCAGTCTACAGTGGTACAAACATGTACAACCCCTGCTCACACCATGGCAGAAATGTAATTCCAAGTAGATGTGGGGTGGGAGGAGTTTTCTGGATGCCCCGGTTATAATTCTGACATACAACAAACTATTTCAGGACCAGAACATCGGAAAATGTGGCGACTTCCCTCCCAAGATCTGCTTTGAGATTAGGAAAGGCAAGGGTGCCTTTCTTGTACAAGGAACATTTTTGAAGTGTTCAAGAACATGTATTAGTATTTGAAGCCCCCCTCCCCCCTAAGTCCTCATTCGAACCACCAACTTTAAATTTAGTTTAATTACAACGAAACACTCTTTGTCGGAGGGGTCTAAGCATTGGTACCGGTTTTATAAAATTTATACACGTTTTATGAAAAACGCACAAAGCCCTATGCACAACTGTACCAATCTTCTTGCATTTTCATATCATCCATAGCATTTCATAGCTGGGTTTGTTTCTTTTTCATAAAATTTGCACCAATGTCATAAAATCTGCACCAATTTCACAAAATTCGCACGAATGCTTCTGCAAATCTAGGAACTCCTCAAACCCAGTCATTTGAAAGAAAATGAAACTGCTTGATGAAATTATGCTGCTAACAGGCCAAATTTTATTTTCTGATCCATCAAGTTTTGGAGTGGGAAAGTTTGATCCAGGTTAAAATCTGTTTGAAAAAACAAAGTGGATGCATGATGGAATACATGTACATGTACCAACCATCTTTTTTTTACCGAACAGAAATGTACAGTAAATACAGATATGTTAGAAGACATTAAAACATTTAACATGTACATATTGCCCTAAGTACGTCACATGTAAAATAATCATAAGCACATAGTTTCAATATTTATACAAAAAATAAGTTGCTCTCATCGAAACAACAAAATTACACTGGCGAAAACTAAAGATTGCTTTGCACATAAAATCTCTGGCAAGTATCAGCAAATATCCATAAAACAACTCCAACAGTTCTTAACATGGAAAAAAAACTGTCAAAAATGTGGAGATACAGAACCTAACCAACAACAGTTCTATCTTTCAACATTTTACACGATATAATTGACCAACATTATTGCCGATAAAACTAAATTAATATCTTGACCTTATTTCAAACTCAATAACAATATAATATCCCCATAAGTACAGTAAAGAGTCAGTTCTAAAATATTTATACAAACCAAGCCTATCCCTTAGGAAATTTGTAATGCACATTTGTGAACAAACATAGGAATGAATGTTGGAACAAATTTAAGAAACTTAACAACTGATGGTAATACAAATTTACAATAAGTAACTGTAACTGTAGAAGTAAAGAAGCTGGAAGCTTTTATGAATTGTATATTGGAACATTACTGGTAAGTACCGTTCTATGTAAAGTTAGAATGTACCAAGTTTGTAATTTTGTCAAAACTAACATTCTAGGTTACAGTGACTGCTAGGATGGTGTATACTGGTGCAGTGGGTTTGGAAAAAAAATTATTCAAAATAAACCATATTTTGACCAAATATGGTTCAATTCCAGGAAAACTTTGACAGTCGCCAAATATGGTAGTTAGAAACCAGGGGAGGTTCTGAGAGTCACCAAATATGGTCGCTCACATTCCAGGAAGCCTTGGTCATATAACTGTGTGAATCCTTAGTTTTAGACTTTGAACTCTGAACTATAAACTTTCACCCAAGTCAACTCTGAACTATGAACTTTCACCCGGCCAGACTTGGACAAAATAGACAACTGTAGGAACAAGACACTTGAAAACTACAGTCTATATTGTATTAACATATTAAGTACTACGCAGGGGGGACGGGTACATGGTCCATCCGCTTCTCCCCCTGGCCCTGGGGCTGTCCCTGGGCGTTGTCCCCCACCCCCGGGGCTTCCATCTGACCCTTTCCCTCCCCCACGTCCCCCAGCGGAGGGTTGACATCCCCAGGGTGGCCGGGAATGGCCACCTGGGCGGGGACGACGTCGGGGTTATACTGGTACTCTTGTCCTTTCAACTGTGGAGGGAGGGGAAAAAACAACAACAACATGAGTAAACATCTCAGCATCAAGGAGGCTGCAGTGCAAACTGCAGATGATAGGAGGTGCTGTTGCACTGCCAAAGATTACCCAGTCCTGAAAACAATATTGCTTGAGTGGCATATTTTCTGTATTGTATGTGAAGCTGCAGTCCCAACTGCACCCAATAGGAGGCGTTTTTGTACCAGTGAGGAAAGTCCCAGTGTGCTAACATTAGTCTGCTTGTATTTTACTTGTTACTTGCATAAGAACATGCTGAGATCAGTGAAGCAGGTTAACATATTACAACTTGGGTAGAAAGCATCAATGAGGCTGCAGTACCAAATGCACCCAACAGGAGGTGCTGTTGTACCATGGGCTAAAATGTACTACCAAAATAATAGATGTTACAAAATGATTTTTACCCACAAGGCTCACTAGACTCAAAGGAAAACCCTTCACATCTTAAGAAATACATCTTAAAGTCTCAATCTTCCACTTGCCTCGCATTTGATTTTTTTAGAACAGCTAAAAATGTAGATGCACCTTTTTTGTGTTTTCGAGCACGACGGCGTCGGGTTTGCCGTAGTCGGGCGGGTTCTGTCGAGGGTCGTAGCCGAGGCGCTGCAGCATGGGAGCGATGTACGGCATGTCGCGAACCACGTCGTCCGGGATGTGGCCCACCCACGACGTCAGCGCGTCCAGGTTCACCGGCTTCACCACCTGGTCCGTCGACCTCTCGATTCTGGGCAGAACAAAACAAAGTTTTAAACAAGGTACGCCAAAAAGAACAGCTAAATAGGACTGGTTCCTGGCTTCACAACCTGGTCCGTCGACCTCTCGATTCTGGGGGGGAAAAAAAAAGAATAAAAAAAGTTGTTTTGCCAACACACAAAATACATTAAACTAGAAGGGTAACATGCATATTAATGTTTACTTTACTTGGTCTAGCCCAACAAACTACTGCTCTGTTTACTCAAACACATTCATATATATGGTGACCAGCCCCTCTAACTCTGTCCTGCCACTTGCTACAGATAATAATCCACGTAACCCAACACCACAGGGTGTCTGCCACAGCACCAGTTGCTATGCTGACAGATGTTCCAGGTCATTGACCTTCACATGTTTGGAGAAGATGAAGAAGAAACAGAGCAAAAACAATGTGTTTTCCTTATGTGAATCATCAAACATTAGAAGACATTAAAACATTAAACATGAACATATTGCAGAACATGAGCTCTGAACAATAATATCAAGCACATAGTTTCAATCTTTATACTAAAATGAGTAACATTTATCTGTAAGATCTTAGAACCAGTAAACTGAGTTGGAGTGACCTGACTGGGTGGAAGAAGCCAGAAGAAGGAGTTTAATCTCATTCCCCAGCAGTTAGTGATGCATACCTAAACCCAATTTTAGGTTCAGGTCCGGATTCAAGTCCAGAGGTTTAGGTTCAGGTCCTGACTTGTAAGTCCGGACCCAAACCCATGGCATATACAAAATTGCATGTTGGCAACTTTGCAATGTTGTCTGGATGAAAGTTTGGCCACATAACGTGGAGGCCGGTACTTGGCGATGCCCGATGGCAATGTTTTCTTCATTTTGCAGCAAAGATTTTGCAATCTACAGAAGGTTTTAGGTGGTTTGGAAAGAAAAGGGGTATGTTAAATGGTCTTTTATGGTAATAAGTCCGGAATTGGTTCTTGACTTTTAGGTTTTTTGGGGCTTGAACCTAAACATTCTTACAAGTCCGGATCCAAGTCCAGTGAACCGGTATGCAGCACTACCAGCAGTACACCAGCAGGGAGGCATGACCTAATCACAGGGCAGGATGACAAACTGCAGGTCATCGGGGTCAAGTGTGACGACCTGTTGATAAACCTGTGACCTTCAAGGGGAGGGGGCGGTTCAAGGACACTGGTGTTGACCTTCTCAGTTAGTAAGAATAGGTAGTTTTTGTGACCTTCACCGGGTAGTAAATACGAAGCTGTGACCTTCATCGCCACATGGACAAAATTACGACCTCCAAAGGTCAAAGTTGACGAGGAGAAGGGCAAGGACACTGGTGGTGACCTTCATGGACAGACAGAAGTAATCGTGACCTTGAGGGGATAGCTGGCATGACCTTGTGACCTTTCACTAGTTTTCCCTTTATATGAAATTTGTACTTTTATGACAAATATTTGAAAGACACAGTTTTTTTGCTCCTTATAAAATTTGTATTCTCATGACGAATACATAAAAGACACAAATGTCTAACGTTGATGAAGATTAGACATTCAGGTACATGAAGTAAGATACGCAAAAAAACAACAGTTACTCAAGCAACTGGATATGATTTGTCTTCATTGATTTGCAAATCAATAAATAGTTTCTGCTTATTTGTTTGTTTCTTATAAAACCTGCTTTTCTGACAACTTTCCAGTGTCACTGACGAAAGGTAGCTATAATGAATGCTACCATTTCCAAAATCATATCCAGTTGCTTGAGTAACTGTTTTTGGCGCATCAATGACTTGGTTGTGATTTGTTTTGGTTGACATGTCTTGTTTCTAATGATTGATTACTTGTACTTTTTGTTCATATTATTTATTATCTCTATGTTTAATGATTTGATTGTCTATGTCCTTTGTAACTTGTTCTGTTGGGCCACCTTGGAAATCAGTTGTCCTAAAGTAAAGGTACCACCCAACTGTTTTAAAGATCAATAAATAAATAAATAAAAATGACTTACTTTGACAAGGACGCCCCTCCCGGCTTGCCGATGAAGTCTTGATGATGAAGCACAGCCTCATCCCAGGGGATCTCCAGGAACGTCAGGATTCTGTCCATCCACTCCTTCGGGTGTAACACGAGCTGCTCGTACTGGACAGGTAAACACTTCGTGGGACCCACCTGTAAACGCACAAACAAACCTGATAAACAAACAAACAAACAAACAAACAAACAAACAAACAAACATCAGGTGCTGCTTGTACTGGACAGGTAAGCACTTCATGGGACCCACCTGTAAACACACAAACAAACCTGATAAACAAACAAACAAACAAACATCAGGAGCTGCTTGTACTGGACAGGTAAACACTTTGTGGAACCCACCTGTAACGAAAATTCAACCAAAAATCAACTCAAAAATGCTCCAATTTTTCCCCCATGAGTAGAGAAAAGTCCTTTTCTTCCTACTTTTTACAGTTTTTCCATCTATCAATGCAGTGGTTTGATTAAAAGTTCAAAATTCATTGTTTAAATATTAACCCAGCCTTTTGTGTTGACTCCATGGCTTCTATCGTAGCATTCGGGGCTGTAAGAGGATGCCCAGACCTGTTTTTATTTTTTTTTCTCCCTGTTGCTTCGTATTTTTTCTGAAAAAAAATCAAAGAACCGACAAATTAACTTGGTGTGGCCTAACAAACAAACAATAGGATGCCTAGACCTGTTTTTATTTTTTTTCTCCCTGTTGCTTCGTATTTTTTTTCTGAAAAGATCCGAGAACCGACAAATTAACTTGGTGTGGCCTAACAAGTGTGAAACTGATCCCCCCCCCCCAGGCGAAGTTAACTCCCTCCATCAGCATTTTTCTGATTTGCAAAAAACAAAACAAAAAAAAAAGATTCTGGTTCTGTACCAACTCAAATATGCTCATTTTTTTTTGCCCTGTCGCTTCATATTTTTTCTGGAAAAATTCGAGAACCAACAAATTGAATTGTTGTGGCCTAACAAGTGTGAAACTGATCCTCCCCCAGGCGAAGTTAAACTCCCTCCGTCGGCGCAACGTTCGGCCGAGTCAGCAAAAAACAAACGATCCTCGACAGAATTTAATTTTCTGCTCTCGATAACTCCAATCACACGGCCAGCCGCGGCTGATTACCGCATAAATCACGACCTCGGGTCGTTACCCGGGCGATGGCACGTTGCCATGGCAACGGGCGTGCTCAGTCAGCTGTCTGTGGGTCACGTGTCCAGCAGAAATGTTGTAGTCGGTGAAGGTTAGACATCCAGGTAATAAGATACGCCAAAAAACAGTTACTCAAGCAACTGGATATGATTTTGAAAATGGTCACTGACGTTTCAGCTAGTATCCACTAGCTTTCGTTAGTGACTGAGAGACCAGAGGGGAAATGCAGGTTTATAAGCACTAACTATTGATCAGTCACTGACGAAAAAGCTAGTGGATACTAGCTGAAACGTCTGACCGTTTCCAAAATCATATCCAGTTTTTTGTTTTTTGGCGTATCGTATTACCTGGATAGTAGTGTTTAGCAGTCCTGTCTACAGCCACAAAGGTTGGGGTTCTGATTCACAGTGACACAATAAAAGTAATTTTGCAAACTAGTAGAGTCTGTGGCTGTTATAATAAGAAGTTTATTGCAAATTCATGCCCGGAGGCTAATTGCAAATTACAAACTAACATAGAAGAACAATGAAACAGAGTATAAAATAACAATCTACATAATGAAAGGTAGCTGTCTAAATCTACAGCAATGTCTAAAACTGTGTCAGACTCAGAATGTTGTTTGATGTTTGATGTTTTATTAGATATCCATTAGATTAGATAACAAATCTAATCTATTCTTCCTGGATTCACAAACAGTACACAAATGTAATACAAATTAAGGCACAAAACATAACATAACATAACACTTGCATCCATTGGACTACAACTAGCATAAAATTACAAAGCAATAGTCAATAACAACTACAAAGCAGCACGACATTACCAGATCGCTTTTGGGAGGTCAGAGGTCTCATCCAATGATAATATATACAGCTTCTTGCTTGTGAAGTATCTTACCACCAGTGCTTTAAGGGTTTGTATGTATCAGTCTTGTGAGTTATCATGTCGTTTATGATGTTCTTGAACAGTGTTGGTGTGGCTGACCTGGCGTGTGGTGTAAGGTTGTTGTGAGATTTTGTACATCTATACACGAATGTTCTTTCCATTGCGGTTGTCTTTGGTTTAGGCAGTCTTAAGCCACCTCCTGTCGCAAGTCGGATGCTATGGCCATGGGAATTATCTATTCGTTGTAACCTGTCGTAGATCGCTTCTGGTTTTTCAGCTACCAAAATTTTATTGAACATCATTAGCGTGTTTTTGTATAGTCTTCCTTTCACTGATAGCCAGTTCAACCTTTCATGCATAGTGTTCGTGTTACAGTTGTACTTTTCATCTAACACCAGTCTAGCTGCTCTGTTTTGGAGAATTTGTAATTTGTCGAGTTTTGATTGTGATCCTGCAGACAGTAAACACGAGCAGTAGTCCATGTGACCAAGCACCAGTGACTGCACCACTATCTTTAAAGTTGCGCTAGTGAGGAAGTCTTTTGATCTCTTGAGAGATGCCAACGCACCTGACATTTTGGACTTAACTTTATCAAGTTGTAGATCCCAGGATAACTGTTGGTCCATCAAAACGCCAAGCAGTTTTGCCTGTTCTACTTGTTCTATTGTTTGATTGCCCATGGTGAGATGTAGATTTGTGTTTTGTTTCAGTTTGTGACGGCTACCTAACACAATGGTCTTGGTTTTGCCCACGTTTAGAACAAGTCTATTTGCTTCTACCCAATTCCATACATGCGTCAAATCAGACTGTAGTTTGCGCTGTATTGCTGCTACACTTGGACCTGACGCAGAAGGAGTTGTGTCGTCGGCATACATCACTATGTCTGAATGTGTCACTACTGTAGGGAGATCATTAGCATAAATACAGAAGAGTAAAGGGCCTAAGCAGCTTCCTTGAGGAACGCCGCTCTTGCACTCTTTGTGTGACGATAAACTTCCATTTACAAACACAGTCTGGGTTCTGTTAGTCAAGTAGCTTAGTCAGAAGGGTTTTTCTTCTTTTCTGTAAACCATGGAAGACGTTATAAAGGGCAAACTTTACCAGCATGTTTTAACAGGTAAATGGCAAATGCTTTTAAATTAGTAATATTTCACAAATTTGTTTGGTGTTTTGTACATCTTGTTTGTACGTATATCTTAAATTTTTCCAGTAGTTTGAATTGTACATCTGTTCCCAGGCACTAGCGCACACCCTTGGCAAACCTTCCCATACAGACCCTGGCAGCTTGGTTCTGTGCCCTTTCTAGTTTGTACAGGAATCCCTCCGTGTAAACTTGGAGCCTTTTCAAAGTGCAGAATCATCGCCAAAGTGGTGAGTAAGCAGCGAAAAGCTGAAAGCTAATTTTACAAGCTTTGGCTTCAAAGTCTTGGGTGTTTGCAGTGGATCTCACGAGCCAGGAGATCTGGCCAACTTGGCAGGGATCGAAATGCATACTTTTTGTGGCATATCTGTACTTGTGTGAGTAACATTGGAAACTACAATGTATATATTACAGTTACTGCACCACTCAGAATTTAGGAAGTGTACGGATCACACTAAAAATTGTTCAGAATCCACTACTGTCTGAATGATTTCTCTTTTATTCATCATTCAAATTAAAGGTGGTACCAGTCAATACATAAAAAACTAAAAAAAAGTATACTAGACACCTCAGAAATATCTGCACAGCTCCAATTTTACCTGCATGCGCTAACCTGCATATACTCAGTACATGGACCAGTGCAGGTTAGGTGCAGGTAGACATCAGAAATACCTGCACAGCTCCAGTTTTACCTGCACTAACCTGCATATACCCAGTACATGGACCAGTGCAGGTTAGGTGTAGGTGAACAGCTCCAATTTTACCTAGTACACACACAGGTGATATTTCGAGCCCTGTACGGCCTTGCCAGGCGGTAATGCACACACACACACACACACACCGGAGCAGGTAATGTGCGTGTTTGAGAGAGGCTGAAGCACAAATGTGTGGCTTTGCGAGGATCAACACATCAAACCTCACACACAGCCCTGCTGACATGTCAGCTCTGAACACTCAACGGATCAGAACAGGCCAGCTGGCGTCTGCGGGCTCGAAAAAAAACGGTGCGCCAAAAAGCAGTTACTCAAGCAACTGGATATGATTTTGGTCAGACGTTTCAGGTAGTATCCACTAGCTTTCGTCAGTGACTGAGAGACTTGTCAATGAGTAACTGCTTTTTGGCGTATCGTATTACCTGGATGTCTAACCTTCATCGTTGTATCAAAAAACGGTGGTTTTATTCTGCCATGGGATATTTTTTATCTATTCACGTATTTCTATTAAGTATAACTGGTAGGCAAGAAGCACAGTTCCTTAATATATGATGCCTTCTACTCAAAAACAAATGTGTGAGTTAGCTTCCTTTTTCTAGCTTTAAGTGATCTTACATACACACACACACACAATAATATACACATCAGGCACTTTTCTATAGGAGAACAAAATCCCAAAGGTGTTATTGATATAATGGTGAGCTCTTTTGAAAAGCTGACTTATCATTACAGTCCATTAACGAAGCTTAACGAAGCTTTGTGGAAATTATAAGGACCACTCTGGATATCTTAGGATATTTGGACAAGGCTACACCAAGCTTAACATTTTACTGCTTGGACACCTCAGCTACATGTATAATCACAAAATGACGTCGTCTGGATAAAAAACACACTTTCTTTGATTCGTCCAAAATCTTCACTTTAGGCCACACCAATTTATTTCCTTGGTTAACGGATTCGCCGCTTCGTTTTTTTGCCAAAATGAAATAAAAATAAAAACAGAACAAAAATCCATACTCTCGGGTCCCGAATTCGGGCCCCAAAATCCACCCCGTACGTTGTAATTTTTCAAAATTTGGGCATAGTTAACAGCGTTAAAAATACATTGCTTCAAGGCAGAAATATTTTTCTTTGTGCAATTTCTTCGGAAAGCTAGGTTGCCTCTTCAAAAGTTCGTCAAACAAAATTATTTTGATATAGAACTCGCCCCCCACCCCCTTTGCACATGTCACCATTCATGGGACAAAACTTCACTGACGAC